AAGCCTTTGTTCAATGATGCATTGTAAAAAGGGGCTCATAACTCCATATCAAAACATTTAGATCAAAATGATGGCACAAGATTGAAGCCCATACACTTGCTGTCAACTATGCCAATTTTCATGATAACATTTTATTAGGGATACACCTCATACCAATCACTATCTCACCTCAAAGTAAAAAGGTGATAAACTGACAATAAATGCTTCAAGGTGCCTATGCTGATACTTTGCAACGAAAAATATAAACACCGATGTTTCATAATTTCAAGGGGACTTATATTGTTTTTGATTAGCACAAAGGTAGAGGCATTACTGAATAATTAGATGCAGGAAAAACTTCCTTTTTGGTATCTGGATGATCATTAACCCTTACAGTACCCGTAAAAGATTATTACAGTAGGTGGCCATCTATACAGATCACATGGTCCAATGGTAAGTACAGATTCCAGAATAATTGTGATAACTGCTTTTTTGGTGGTAAAATAGAATTTATTTTATTTTTATGAGTTGTTTACAATGTATTTATTGTGAAATATGGATTACATACGAAGAATTGTTATCCCTTTAATAGGTTCAATTGCTTTCCTTCTTCCTATGCATCTCAAGGCAGTTTGTTTGTGGGTAGGGCACGCATACAGGTATTAAAAGAGAGCCATGGAAATTGGTATCAAAAAAGTCCAGAGATGTAATAGAAAACAATGTTTAATTCATTTTCCTGCAAATCACAAATAAGTATTAATTACTTCTAAAGATAATGCAAAATGAATACCGTTCTTAGGTGTACTAAAGTGTTTTTATCATATGATTGAAAAAAGTTGAAACAAAAAATATTCTGTATAATTTCACCTTAACACTGAAGAACATGCCCTCTTCAATTCACTAAATTTTCACCTTTCTGGAGCCAAAATTCACAAATTAACAAATGATCCCCCTCTACCATAAAATGAAACCCTGCCAACATCTTGTCCACTTTCCCATTTAGGTGAAAAACAACAAATAAGACAGACAAGAAGAGTTACTTAACTGTGAGAAGTAATAGTCTCCTTTACAAATCTTGGTTGTGAATGAATAAGAACATTTAAGCAGACACTCGACCATCCCCTAATAGCTAACTAGTAACATGTAGAAGGAATCACTTCTCAAAAAACAAACAAGCTGCAGGGGCATATGTTTATTAACTCTGAGAGCCAACTTGTAACTTATAGATGTTTAGATTGTGAATGAAGAAGCCAACATTTCTCATTTATCTTCAAGGGTTTTGAAGCAACAACTCCTGGAGTTCAGTTGGTATAAGTCACAGTGGGCTCCCAGACACCAAGGAGATAAGGAGGATAGATTTAGCCTAGTCCCTCTGCTGGTGGGGAGCACCAAAGATACCAGCCTCTTTCGAACTTTTCTTGCTCCAGCAGAAGAAAAACAAACTTTGTAGATGAATAAGGTGCATTATGGCATTTCTAGGCGTTAACTTTATCTAGTATATTTGTTGGTGCTATTTGATAGTTTTAACAGTTCAATTTATATAATTTCCTGCATTATCACTATTGGAATTTTGATTTTTGATATCAATCAATAATTTCTTTACATTGTTTTACATGTGAATTACTAGTACTTTACAGACATTTCAAACATCTCAAAACATACTGCTTTGCCTCTCTAATTTTGAATGTCTATGTACTGTAGTGCTTTTTAGACTTGTCTATTAATGAGACTTTCCTAGGTATCATGTTGAACTTTCAGTAAGTCATAAAAACCTCTTCAAAAAAAGAAATCACATGAAAAAGTCATTCCCCAAAAAGGAAATGTAAAATCAATGGGTACATTTTTTTCTCTTGATTCTATGAGAAGAAGATAGCATCCTTTTTTCAACTAGAAATGAGCACAGGCTGGGTTTAGAGTTCATTTAATATCAATCATGTCTTGCAGAGTGCATGTAATAGGTAAGTTTAGTCCATTAACAAGACTGTGCTTCAGAGACAAGTTTCCAGGCAGATGGTCCACTTCTCAGTTGTACCTTTAAACACCAAAGCATATCTAAAAAAAGATTTGGTAAATGTTTACTTGGAAAAACTAATGAAAATTGAAGGTAAAACATCAATATATTGCATCCAAACCTCTCAGCTATGTTTAATCCAAATTTTACAGCCTTCTAATCATTCAACTCAATTTCAAATATTTCATTGTATAGAATTCCTATACTGTATCATGAAAAAGATAAAATACAACCTCTCAATACATTCAACATTTTAGCAATCTTTTTCAAATGGAACACCGGAAACACAGGACACACACAGACTTACACAAAAACAAGGAGAAACACCAAGTTATCATTCAGGAACTTGGTAATCTTCTGTTCCCAATGATAGGCAGCTTTGGATTTCCCACCATTGTGTAGGCTAAATGATAAAACAGCAAAGCATAATCTCAGTATTCCCAGTATCACAACACTGCAGACAGTTAAGACAGGATAATGGTCATGTTCACAACTGGACGAATTTACACAGGTTAAAAGTTTTATCATCAGATGGTCAGGTTGTATAGAGAAAGCCTCCAACCCCTCCACTTTGCTGATTCAAGTTAAGTCAGCCAAATCAGACAGCCTGCAGAGGTGGATGGTACTGAGAAGAGTCAACCCAATGATTGGAAATGGAACTAAAAGCAGCAACCAAACACTTTAATTTTATTATCCTGATTTCATTCTCAAAAATTCCTGTGCGTGCAGACAGCACTTTCTTCTAATAATAATTCTGAAGATAATAAAAACATCTTTAAAAAATATTGCCTGATAGACTCCAGGGATAATCTATTTTTACCTGCCACATGCCAGACTGTATACATTGACCTTTTCGCCATTTTGTGGTCACAAAAATTTTATTCTGTCTGAAACTGCATATCACATTAAAATTATGTACCTTCTTTTCCAACAGAAAACTATTGTAAAAATCCAGACAAAAATACTCCAGGCCTAATTTCATTTTAAAAGAATCTGGCTAACAATGCATTTTTGGAAACTCTGCTCTTTGTATAGGTATTTTTACCACTCGTGAGAAAAAAATAACACTCACTTTGCCCTTGGGATCCTCCATTGCCAGATCATTCAGTGAATTTTAACCTTTCATATTTGAATGACAGCAAATACAAGTTGAATGAACCAAAAACTTTATCTATGATATATACCATGTTAAACACATTGATATGCTTTTAATATGACCCTAGATAGGCACTAAATGGTTTCTTATTCTGTACTATGTAGGTTCATTTTTGCCAGACTTTATACTCTCTCTTTCTCTCTCTCTCTCTCTCTCTCTCATATATATAATTTTACAGGTATCAGTTTGTCTTTTTAAAGCCAGACAAAATTGATAAAGCTGGTTAATGAGTGGTGACTTTGTAGACATTTATTTTTTAAACATATGTTTAATGAACCTATCAGCTTAATTTCAAGGTTTGTCAGTGATTTTTTTTTTTTTTTTTTTTTTTTGGGGGGGGGGGGGGGGG